GCTAAGTTCTGTGCGTCCATTTAATATTAGATAAAAATATCTCTTACGAGTACATATACTGGACATTTGCAGGCATTGGTTCATCTTCATATTCTCTGTACCTTTCTGCCACGTCAAATAAATAAATGACACAATGGAAAAAACCTAAAACAAGTAGTCCTATTTCAAACCACATTTACTTACCAATAAAATTTCTTTTTATGACACTTTCTCCGGTTTATAGGACCTCTCTCATATTCTATCTTGTCATATCTAAACTCATAGTCATGTATGTCCTCTAACCATCTCATAACGGTTTCCAAACCACTTTTATCGGATGTAAAGTAAAAGCATGGATGGTTATGTAAAACGTCTAAAGTTTCTAAAGAGTCTCTCAAAGTCCAGTCTACTTGGTATTGAAAATCCCATGTGTTATAGAACGGCGGGTCTACTATAAAGAAAACATTTTCCTTGTCTTTATATTTTTCATACAACTCTGTCCAATGACATCTCACAAACTCTATACCCTCAATATATTTTTCTATGTCCTCTTTGAAAACATTTGTATAGTTAAGATATAAAACGTTTGACATAAGTGTTTCAATGTCATGAACTCTTATAGAACCACTATATAATAGTCTAGCAGATATACTATCCCAGTCTATATATTCTGCTTTTTTCAAAACCTCTCTCACAATATTTTTCTTATCTAATGGTATACGTTCCATCTTGCCTATAGGTATCTTTTCTTTTAACTCTTCAATATTTTGTTAGTGTCTGGTATATGTTTGAGACGGTTCATATAGTTGTCGAAGTCATTGCATATAATCTTTGAGTCAGGAAATATTGTATGGCACAAATGAGATTATAGAAACTTCCACCGAACAAGTCTACAAATGTTAGACCATTCGGTAGTTTCTTAAGTTCTCTCAATAGAATATCTTTACATCTACTCTTATTTCCAAAGAAGGGTAACGGTGGTTTTGTAAAATTCATTTTATATATAATAATAAAAATGTTTTTTCCTGAAAAGTGACAGAAAAGTGACAAAACATGTACGAAGAAGTCTTGAAAATTCAAGAGGGTAGAAAAGAGGTTAGAAAAGAGGTTATATCTAACCTTCTACCCTAAACATTATTTTTGTCTGATTTTACGAAGAAGTCTTGACAAAACATGAAAACATATATAATTTGTGAAAAGCTCCTGGAAGACCCGTATATAAGAACTTCATTTATACTAAACATCTTCGGGGCTAGAAGGCACGAAGTGCCTGGAAGCCCCACTACCTTTTTTTTTTTTTTTTTTTTTTTTTTTTTTGTAGTGTTTACTAATAGATGAATAGTATATAAATTCTATTAAAATGGATTTGATCCAAAAAAATATATAAAATTTGATCATAAATAAAATCGTTTTAAATTACTTCTTCATTTAAATTATAACAATTATTTTTGGTTTTATATTTTTTTGGATCAAATCCATTTTAATAGAATTTATATACTATTCATCTATTAGTAAACACTACCGTATATTATTTTTTAAGCTATCTTATTTTTTGAAATTTTATTCAAATCTTTGGTCGCAAGAAGAATTGCATGATAAATAAAAACATTTAATCAAAGTCAATTTTATTTTTCATATTCAAATGGACTGAGTGTTAACATTTAACATTTTTTGCTAATTGTCGTCAAAATTAGGCGTAAAGCAAAAATTGATATTTCATATGGTTTTATGATAGATAAGCATTATATTCCCACTCATTATATTCGTAAATTTTGAGGTTTATCCTTCGCTTTTAAGATCATTGAATTTGATTTTTATATAAAATAGTTATATATTAGAAAATAATATGAGTTTATGTGATATTATTTTTCAGAAGATTTTGTGTTCTTCTTCAAAATTTTATTTTTTTATTAAAAAGAATCTTTACAAAATATACATTTACTTTAATTAATATTTAAAAACGTGCTCTATCAAAAGTTCCAAAAATTCAATATTTTAGCTTTTCTGAAGTGTCACTTTTGATGAATTTCTGTTTACAACAGTATGCACTTTTGTCACCTACTCAGTTCAAAAGGGAACAAGACAAATTTGCCACACGGCACTTTTTTTAAAAAAAATTAATGGAGCGGAGCGATACTCTGCTGCAGGAGCCCCAAGGCTCCAAATCATTACGAAAGGGAGCCTCAGGGCTCCTGAGAATCCATCAGCAGAGGCCTTTTCATTTGGCCTCTGCTGATCAAAGATTCGGCGAAGCCATTCTTCGTCTCAGGAGCCCCAAGGCTCCCAATCATTACGAAAGGGAGCCTCAGGGCTCCTGAGAAACCTCTTTGAGAAGGTTTTCTTAAAGAAAACCTTCTCAAAGATGATTGTCAGCATTCACTCAAAATCTACCAAGAGTTTCAAAGTTTCAAATCTATCTGAAATGAAGCTTTGAATCTCTTGTATATCTAATTGTAGAGGTACCTTTTCAAAATGTCTTCTATTGATTAAATTTAATCAGTAAAAGTCATTTTGAAAAGGTACATCTCTATAATTGCTATTGAGCATTCACTCTTGGAACCTTGGAGCTCTTGTGTAGTGCATGAAAACTCCAAGATTCTAGCATAAAACATATATCATAGACATAATTTCTTCAAATATAATTTAAGGTTATTTTTTCAAAAATGAGAAAAGCGTAATTTAAGGTTATTGAAAAGTGACACTTGGCGAATTTGTCCCGCACTCAGTTCAAAATCTGTTAATTAAATTAAAATTAATATTCTAAATAAATTAGAATAACTTTAATCGTTAAAATAATTCATGATTTTAAGTATTTATTATTAAAATCTTAATTTTTCAATTCATTTTTAGAATTTCAAAATTAATTTGGTGGTTTTTCATTCAATTCTATTTGAATCATATTGTATTCAATTCACCAGATACATTTGTTGTTCCAAATAAATAATTTTTTTGAATAAAATACGATTTTTTTCAATTCAATTTTTATTTTAATTTTTTAATGAGGTTAGCTTATTAAATTAGGCTAATCCTTTCATAAACGGCGACAGTCTCACACTCAGGCTTTCAACCGGGCCTGAGAAGCCGAAAATCCTCAGAGTCAAGTTCCTCGACAGTCGCCCTCATTAGGATCGATCCGAGAGGAACTTGGCTCTGAATGAAATTCACAAGCTCTGGCCTCAGCAAGGACCAGAGCTTCATAAACAATCCTCGGGGCTGGTTTCCTCAAAGACCGCCCTGATTCGGGGCGGCCGGAGAGGAACCCAGCCCCGGGAGCTATAAAATACGAAGCTCTGGCCTTAGCAATGGCCAGAGCCTGCAAATTTCATCCTCAGAGCCGAGTCCGCGGGAGATTGTCAATGTTGTAGACGATCTCCCGCAGACTCGGCTCTGAAAGACCTCAAACTACAGGCTCTGGCCTGAGCAAAGGCCAGAGCTTCAATTAAAGTCTCCAGGGCCGGTTTCCCAAAATGCCGCCCTTATCCCGGGCGGCAGGAGAGGAATCCGGCCCTGGGAACAATAAAATACGAAGCAGTGGCTCCTAATGAGGCCAGGGCCTGCAAAATCAATCCTCAGGGCCGAGTTTTGCGATGATCGTCCTTCATAAGGACGGTCTCGCAAGAACTCGGCCTTGAAAGAATTACAAATACAGGCTCTGGCCTCATCAGAGTCCAGAATCTCTCTCGGAAAATACATTGCCGAGTCTCTGGAAAATGTTAATATTGAGGAAACACTTCCTGGAGACTCTGCAGGAATATTAATAGTACAGCACCAGAAAGACTAGAAGGGGGCCCTGACCTTGAGAAAGGACCCCCTTCCCGGTCTTTCTGGCGAACTTTGGTTCGCATTGCGAGTGTCTGCTGCGAATCCGAGGCGGAGCAGCAGACACTCGCAATTGTAGTTCGCGGCAAGTGCACCTGTGGTGCCAGAATGCACTTGCCGCGAACTTTGCTAAATGCAAAGATGATGCCGGAAGGAGCGCCCAAACCGGTCAGAAGCGCTCCTTCCGGCACCAGAAAGACTAGAAGGGGGCCCTGACCTTGAGAAAGGACCCCCTTCCCGTATAAAACATTTTTGCATCTCATTATTTTTTACCTTTGATTTGTACAATTGCATAAAACACAATAAAAACATATTACCCACTTACAATAGAACCATACACACGTCAAATAACACTTAGAACACAAATTTCCTTTTTATTACATTGTGATTCTTTTTATACCTATTATATCTACCATTTTAAATAGTCAAAACATGAGGTACAGGACAAGTCTATAATAGTCATATAATTTTTTCATAACTCTAATGTGATTCAAATAATAAGTATCTCAATGTATGTGCAATCTATAATTTAATATTTTTAAAAGCATACATATAATATGGTCTGATTATATATAATATCAAATCCTGAAAATATTCATTATTCATCGATTTACCAAATTTGGTATGCAAAATTTGGGATTCTCGCTTTTTTTTGCAAAAAATGGGAAGGACCCGGTCTTAGATCTCGTCGGGATAAGCGGAAAGGATAAAGTCCATGAGCTGGACTTTTGTCTTAATGAGTGGTACTGCACTCATGAGTATTTCGCGCTTGTTGGAGCCCATTGGAACACGACCTTTCCAATTCCTCATAAATCTCAAGGCAGAGATCGTGAAGAACTCAAGGACAAAGAGTCTTTGAGACTTGGTAAGGAATCCCTCATCATCTCTTTCATCCTGGAGGGTCTTTGTGGATGCAGTGGACTTGATCTCGTCTTCCTCGATCGGATCATTATCATAATCTTCATCACCCTTCTTCCTAAACGTCATCTGCTCTCTCTTGTAGTCATTCCTGAGAGCATTGAGTCCAGCTTCAAGATCTTGTGAGTTCTTTGCAGGTTTGTTGAAAGTTTTCTTTTCCTGCATTTGCTGCATGAGCTGGGTTTGCTGTTGCATCATCTGCATCATCATTACCATCATATCTGGTGCTGGGGATGCTGGAGCTGGTGTTGGAACGTCTTGGGACATTTTGTCCTTGGAAGTTCATGGTCTCAAAAGTTCATGAACTTAACGGTACAAATTGTCCCGAGAAATTCATGGTCTCAAACCGGACAAATTGTCTCAAAAAGTTCATGTCCCAAAAAGTTCATGAACTTTACGGGACAAATTGTCTCAAAAAGTTCATGTCCAAAAAAGTTCATGAACTCGTGGTTCATGTCCCGAGAAGTTCATGGTCTCAAAAGTTCATGGAAGATCTTCCCCCGATCTGTCTCATTGAGAGTCATCCTGCTCTTAGTGAGTACTTGCTGAATGTCTTCGGTACCAATAGGAAGATATCACTGCCGAGACTATCCAAAAGACAAATAATGAAGCTTGAAGTTGAAGCAAGTGTTTATCTTGCATATGACACAGATCTTACTGATCACAATGAGATCTGTGACTCAAAGCGAGAAACACTCATTGCATTCCTTCACAAGCACCCTTGGGTTGATATTAACTGCAAGATACCTTACAAAGATCTTGTTGAAACATTTCGGGTCTACAGACAATTACTATCAGACTCAAGTTATAACCTCTATGTTAATACAGATGGTTCCCTTAGTGCAACAGACCTTCAAATCCAGAGAGAAGCTCAAGAGTAAAAATCTGACATTTATACTTTACATGACATTTTATCACTTCAAATGTTTTTATTTTTCTTCATCTGTGAGTACTATGAATGTATAGGTCTTGAGTATGATTATAGCAAATCATGCGAGGATGCAGGACTCCCAGGATATATTTACACAACCAAGATCCATGGTGTTCATTATCCTGATTGTTGTAAATGGCGACCTAACAGAACTCCTATAAGGACTCCTGCTAGAACTCTTGTTGCAAAGACTAATAAGAATGTTAACAGAGTGAATAAACGCTTAGTTTTAGCTATTTTTGTAGCTCACCTTTACATGACATTTTTTTAATGAGTGCTCACGTTAAGATCAATGATGAAAACAAGACTCCATGGGAAGATATCATTGATGACATAGAGAATGACCTTGATGAAAACATGATGGGAGTTCAAACGTCAGTTAAGGTCAAACTAGTTAGTATACATATCAAGGGTACGGAGGCACTGCGTTCCACCTTACCCATTATATGTGAATTTGACACTTTACAAAACCGTTAACGTATATTTTACAACACAAACGACAACACTAACTTAACCTTAAATATTTACAAAGCCGCCAACCACTTCACCTCACTAATGTAAAAAATAAACGTTCTCACTTACAAAAGTATTGCAACTCCTCCCATTGCTGTGCTTCACATAACAGCTCATAATCTTCTGACTCACTTTCTTCTTCATATAGGTCAAAGTCACTGTCAAAATAAATGTATGTAAGTTTTGACAAAGCTAATGAAACACGCTTACCGTTTGTATCATATGCTTGTATAAACTTTCCATTATGCTTGTAGTCGTAAACGCTCAAACTAACTTTACCCTTTCTCCCTCGTATCTGATAGAATGTATTTTCACGAGGAACGAAGAACAAATTCTTGAACTCATGACCGTTGTAGTTTGTTATCTCAATAGTTTTCGTCATTTATATAAAAATAAAATAAAAATAATTTATAAAAAATAAACTTAAAAATTAATGATATCACTACCTTCACGCGTATGAAAACATAGCACAAAAATAAATTTAGGGTAGATGGTTAGATCTAACCCGATTTCTAACCTCATTTCTACCCTGTTGAATTCATTGCTTTATAACTCTTTTCCTTGGTTTCTTTTTAGTTGCTTTCTTCACGTCTGTCTCCAACTTGACTGTCTTTCTTCTTCGGCCGTAATGATACCAATTACTTCCACCAGTCAATGGGTCAAATGGTCTTTCGTAAGGGTTTCCATACATTCCATAGGGACCATACGGAAGAACTACTGGTGGAGAAGAAACATTTTCTTTAGTTCCATCGACTCTATTTAAATGCATTGTTTCACCTTTCATCTGGTCATTAAAGTCTTTTGCGTGTTTTGCAAACTCATCGTCCTTTCCTAAAGCATTTTCTGACTCAGTCGCAACCAAATTGGATGCTTTATTTATGAGCCCTATTTTATTTAATCTTAACTTCTTTGTAACCCAGCCTCCAATCTTTCCTTTATTTGCATCTAATGTCTTCGAAACCCTTCCTCCACTCATTTTATTTACTGCGTCATAAGCTCCAATGCTGGACAGGTAGTCATTGCTGAGAAAACCTGTCTTTATGCATGTACGCTTTCATGTATATGGATTTACACTATCAAATAGCAAAGTTGTTCCGATTTCTTCGAAATAATGGAAGGACTCGAAACAACTTTGCTTGATGACGATACAGATGTATTACTTTGCATTAATACTATGCGAAGCTATGTAGAAAGTTCGATTAGAGCCGTTTTTCTCTGGGATCTCTCATCTTCTGATGAGAGAAATCAAAGCAACACATCTCTAATGAGTTTGTTTTCACTCATTTGTATGTAGGCTTTTAGTTTGATTGGAGCTGCTTCACAATGGGATATCTCATCAATTGATGAGGGAGATCATAGTAAAACACCCCCAATGATAATACTTGCTTTAGTATGACTGTAGAATGCTGTAGCTTTAGTATATGATTCGATGATCAAGAAGTTCTGGATTCCCGACGAGTCAAATGAGAATTCCAGAGCTTCTTGTCATATATGAAAGTTGAGGTTCCTGGGTTGAAGTAATAACAAGAAGGAATAAGTGAGTACGTAAGCTCGGCATTCGCCGAGCGAATTAAAAAATTAACATATGAATTTTATATTTTTGAAAAAAACCAAAATTTATAAATTTTACTGTATTATATAAGTAATCATTTTTAAACTTTATTTTAAAAATTCTTTAGGTATATCGTTTACCGCAATTCAAATAGTGTATTTACTTCAAAGATGCAAATATCGCATTGGTGTATAATGTTAATGATATTTTCTATGCAAAGTGAGTTGCGGTAAAAAATGCGGTCATACCACCATTCAATTTATGGATAAAGTACCCAATTTGCGGCTAAACCCCTCAACCTGTGGTAAAAATGAGGTAAAAGTGTCTCAATCTATGGAAAGCTTGCGGTAAAAAATTTAAATTTAGCTATTTTCCTATGATTTTGATTCTACATCCTACAACTCTCAAAACGAAAGATATTTGCAGTGATAATTCCTTGAAAAAAAATTCCAAAAAAATTTCAAAAACGAAAAAACGAAAATAATTCCGTACATTTTTTATTCCGAAATTTCTAAAAAGTTTACCATTGCAGCGGATTCCATGCGGATTTACCATCGGTTACCGTATGAACAGGCCTAGATAAACGAGATATTCAATAATCAACATCAAAAATATAGTTTTTATTCGGAAAAATTTATCAAAAAAATTAAATTTGATTAGATTTCACAGCATTAATCTAATTAATATTCATTTCCACTTATAAAAAATCAAAAATTATTGACACAAATACCTCGCCACATATGGGGCAAAAAGTCACTTTTTGATGCTTTTTTTAAAAAAAAATCGTGCCACCAGGTGCAACCCTAGCTGAGAACTACGGTCTGCGAGGTACATAGATAGAATTAGTACCTCGCAGATTATAGTTCTCTATATGGCGCCGAAAAATTTTGGTGAAATGTCGTCGCATTTCACCAAAAATTTTTCGGCGCCATAGGAAGAATTGGAGGGTGTGAGATACTATTTCATACAATAGTACTCACACCCTCCAATTCCTAGCCAAAATGGCTAAAAATTGGGTGCAATTGTTGACATTGCACCCAATTTTTAGCCATTTTGGCTGAGAACTATAGTCTGCGAGGTACATAGATAGAATCAGTACCTCGCAGACTATAGTTCTCTATATGAACCCGAGAAATTTTTGGTGAAATGCGACGGCATTTCACCAAAATTTCTCGGCGTCAGAGAGAAAGTTGGAGCGTGAGAGATACCATTTGATGGAAAAATACTCTCACCCTCCAATTTTGAGCCAAAATGGCTATCTTTTTATCTTTATTAAATCTATCCCAAATTTATTTTCGGATTTAGAGACTACGAGGTACTAATTCTAGACCATTACTTCGTTGCCTCTATATCCTAGTTAGTACACATATCTTCAGTACGGTGGCACTGCGCGCCTCCTTACCCATTATATGTCAATCTGACACTTTACAAAACCACTAACGTATATTTTACATCGCAGATGCAATATTTCTAATAACCTTAAACTATTTCTGCCACGTAAAGTATTTATCACATAAACCACCTCATCTCACCTCTCTGTACGTTATATATTGTGCGCAGGTCATTGCCCATGGCAACTCCCCGCGACACAATGCACGTGCATGAAAAAATAAACGTTCTCACTAACGTTCTCACTAACGTACACACTAACGTTCACACAAACGACAACACTAACTTAACCTTAAATATTTACAAAGCCGCCAACCACTTCACTAACGAACTCACTAATGTAAAAAATAAACGTTCTCACTATCGTTCTCACTAACGACTTCACTAATGTTCTCATAAATTTTCCTCAATATCTTCATCATCAGTGTTAACCCTATTGTAGTCATACTTGAAGCCATAAACTTTCTCTAACTTCTTAACGTACAATTTACATAACTTACCTTCGTCATCGTATGGTTTAATGATATAACTATTTCTATCTTTATACACAGTCAATGAAAAGTCAACTGGTCTCGGATGTATTTGAAAGAACATGTTATGCTCAGGAAGGAAGAATAAATGTTTAAATGTATGTTTGTTATACTGTGGAATTCGAATGAGTTGCTTTTGTTCTGTCATTTACATCCAAATAAAAATTTTCAGTAAAAATAAAACTAATGAAATATTTTATTCCTCACTGTCGTCTGCTTTCTCCAACTCTTCTAACTTCTTCTTAAGTTCAGCAATGTTGTCCTCATGAAGTTTAATCTTCCTTAATATACCTTCTCTATCTAATGGTTGCTTTATCTTTCTAAACTGAACTCTACCATCCTTCATAGTATGAATGTAAAAACCTTCTGGAATAGTTCCTGATTTAATGTATTCTACCAAAAACTTTTGTTTCATTGCTTCAGTGACTTTAGTCGTCATTTTACTCTAAATAAAATGTTCAAATAAAATAAAAATAACGTTATTTTTTCAGTAAGGAAACGCAGGAGTTTTACGATTTATTTGAGGAGTAGGTTCTGGTTTAAATGTTGGAGTCGGTTTAGGAGTTGACTTTTGAACAGGAGTTTGTACTTCCATAGGTTCAGGAGTCATTGAAGGTTTTGGCGAAGGTGTTGGAGTTTGTTTAACTTCAGCTACTTCAGTATTATTTACAACATTTGCTTTATTTCTTTTCAACATCATAACTGCTCCTGCTGTAGCTAGCAAACCTAGTGGGAGACCATATTTTATATAAGGACTTGACCAAATGCTATTTTTGACAGGAGCTGGTGGAACACCTAACCTTGGTGAGACTGCTCTTTGCCATTGTGCAGCTCGTAAGAAATATTCAATAGGTGCTCCATAATCGTTTTGGTAAAGTTTGTTTCATAGATGGTGAAGGTTCACGAGAGCTTGATGAAGAACTCATTTATAAGCTTTAAAAATAAACGTTCATCTTTATTCCTCACTGTCGTCCGTAGCTAAGTTATAGTCATCTAATCTTATTATGGGGATGCCATTAGTGCGCACCTGAATGGCAAAGCAACAATCCCTCATAAAACCAATAAGTGGCTTTGGTACGTTTTCAGTTGCTAGTTCAATAGGTCCTTTAACAGACAATTTGTATGTTATTGGAGCAGTAGATGTTTGACCTTGCTGGAAGCAAAAGTCCACTTCTGTTGGAAAACCACATAAGAAATGTGTGTTGTCATAGCTATCCCATTTATGTTCCACACTACCATCATCCACCAATGACCTCATAACATCTTCATTAAATCCTATCATATCATTGTTTGTATTGCAAGCGTTCGCAACCATTTCATAAAATACAGGTCCATATGATTTTTCAGGTTCTGCAGGCATATTTCCATAAGCTCCCATGGAAAGCTGAAGATATTTAAACTTAGGGTTCTCAAAATTAACATAATAGTTGTCTTTCTTTCTAAATAGTGCCCAAATACTTTTAACATTAATAGGCGTATAAGCTGCTGTAAAT